AATGGAAATAAAATTAAATTTTAAATCATTATTTTAAAAAGCAGATGGAATAAGAGAGTATGATTAAATAAAATATTAAGAAAATCCAACAGCATCCCTCAGAAATAGAGTTAATATTTGTGTAATTAATAAATTAATAATTAAATGAGAGTATAAACTCTACCATTATAATTTTCTACATTACATTAAACAATAACAAAAGAAAGAGAAAAAATGAAAACTAAATTAACAAAAGTTTTAGAACATGATTGAAATTAAGAAAAGAAATTTTATTAGAGATTGAAAATAAGGAAATAAAAAATTTTTAATTTTGAACCTAAGTAATATCATTAAAAGACTGATTAAGTAAAAATCTGAGCTTACTTTATGCTTTTGACACCAAATAATGATGATTTAATATAAAATCATTGAAATATAATTTCTAAAAGTACGAAAACTTCAAAAAATATTAATAGACATTATTTAGCTAATTTTAATTTATAACTATCGCATTCTCAGATAAAAGTCTAAATTAAGATTCATCATTTAATCTATATTATAAATTAATATTGATATTTTATATAAAAGAAGTGCAGATCTTTAGAGTAAGATCTTAAATACCAAATCTGAAAAGTTGGTTAGAAGAATAAGATAATTTAAGAAAATTAATTAAATGCATAAATAATCAAAGTTAATGAATTCAAACTTTCGAATATTAAATTATTATGATTTAAATACATATATTCTAACATTCATTCATCTTACTTATATTCCATCAATCTATTACCTCTTATGTAATATTTATTTTCCCATATTATATTCTGGTTATTATCCTACTCTTTATAATAAATAAGGATTATTATGATTTTTGGAGATATGTCTCGATTTCCATAATTTTATTTAAAAAAAATACGGCTTACTCTATTATTATTATACATGATTTCTTTAATAAATAAATATAAAATACTATTAGTTCTTTTGTTCTTAATATTGTATTGTTATCTATAATATTACGGAGTTTAAGGATAATATTCCAATAGTTATGCTTGTGCAGTTTATGGTTTTACTAAAGGAGGCTTACTTTTTGATGGCCACCTCATGATAGAACATTAATTAATTTTTTTAATGATTATTATTATAATTTTTTTCCATTTTAATTCGAGGTTATTGAAATACAGTTATACCAGTCTCAATTTTAAGTCTTGCTAAGTAATTACATACTTTAATGAGTGAATTAAATAGTATAATTAAAATACAATTAAGGTTCTTCTTCTCATTCCAATTGATTTTTTATAAAAATCTTTTCTTTTTGACAAATATTCAAAGGTAATCAAACAAATACTCTCTTTATTTCAAATTCGATTGACTTTTTCGTTTTTTAATTTGAATATTTTAGATTTATTCATTTTTAATATATTACTTTGTAGAATATTTCTTGTAAATATCAAAAATGATAATAGAACCAAAGATATTTAAGATATAAAATATTATAATTATTTACAGTATGAATAATAGTATATAGTTTATATAAATATTTAAATATTTATGTTTAAAATAGATTTTATTAAATGATTTTTTTATATTTGGAAAATTACATGTATAGCAATAATTCATTGAGTACTTATTACTATTTTAAATCTCATTCATCAACCTAACTTAAAATTTATTTGGAATCTTTGATTATGGAAGATTAGGCGTAATGATGTTAAAATAGGTTTTTGTTGTCTCTATATTATAAACCATTTTTCATAATATTCATTTTTCTTTTTTCCATTATTCAGAATATTTTTTATACCTAAATTGTTCATTAGATTAATTAATATTCAGTTTATTATAATGTAAATCAGATTAAGTATCTAAAAATTTCAAAATCGTTTAAATTAAACTTGTAATTTCATGATTATCATAAAATGTCTAAAATTAACAGAATAATAATAATACTCAATAAATAACAGAGATATTAGAAAATTTTAATATATATAAATTTTCTGATTGAGTGACTTTGTCGATTCATAAAAATAATTATACATATATTATTTGATTTTTAGATTTATATACCCGCAAAAATAT